TTTTCTTGCTGAGAAGATATTTTGCGACGATCGTATCGAGTTCTGTTTCGTGGTATCATAAACGGTAAAGTGGCAAGGGTTGTCCGTGTTTCACAGTAACTTCGCGTTCGAACGTCACTTCCACTTAGCTATCTCCTAAACCGACAGTTTGACGATCGGAACGACGTAATCTATTGTTATCAGGAACTATTACTGTATTACGGGATGTGTACTATTCTAGAATTACGGAATTACTCGAACGGCTAAGGTTCCGCAGTTGTATCGATAGCGATGGCCTAGTTCGGCAAACAATAGAACAACTGCGTTTATAACTTTCCACTACGCTAATTGAAATTGTATTAACGCAATTAACTAGCCAACGAAGCAAATAATTCATATCAAAAGATCTGAATCCTGATTACAACTATTCTTCGTACAAACGTACCATTTAACATTTAACAATTGAATTCGATCGATTGCCTCATTAATGATACGATTGTAATCTATCGTGATACCATTGATACAGTTACCTTTGAAACTAATACCAGTGTTTCAACCCATTATGAGGTATGTTTGCAAATAATTTGAGACTCAACGAAACAAATTATCTTATCAATACGTAATATAAATTACATTAAACATCGTTTGTTCCAAGGAAGAATTCTGCGTTAAATAATGAAATATTTTTACTGTCCATAAAAATGATGTGGACAGTATCGAAGGGGTGGACAGTTGACAGGCCATTGTCGCGTGTACACGCAAGCTGGTCAGCGATGCGCCGCGCCGACTGGAAGAGCGACCGCACTTTACGAGCTTTGCGGCTAAAATATATGATTCTCCCGGTGGCGACCGTAAAGTTTCGTTCTCATTGTTTCGAGCGGACGGAAGAGAAGAGAGGCCAGGAATGGTCTCTGGTTTAAGAGCGGTAGACCGCCGCACGATTCGAGGCGGACGTAAGATTAACGGCCAGTTTGCTTTGTACCTTTACACCGATCATACTCTACGACTTCGTCGTTTCGATCTGTCTTTTATCTCGACGACCACTTTCCTCGAATCGGAATTTATGGTGCAGAGGACCGGAAAAAGCTGACTCTTTCGATGACTCCAAAAGCCAACTCGACGAACTAAAATTACAATAAGGGAACATTTTTTTCTTTCGGGCAATAGCGATAGGTGTTAAGAGAGGTGTAACCGAGTAATATTCCCGAGGGAATAAAAGTGTCGTTTGTAGCAAAGATCGTAACAGAAGAGGGAAGTTCCGCGGAGTGTCTACGAAAGATAGCGTAACGTCGTGGAGATTTAGCACGTTGTAATTCGCCTTAATATCGACGTACGTGGGAGTCGTGCTCGTTGTCATCGTTCCATTCGAAAACGATATTTGTATTCCGGCACATAGCTCGCGGTCCGCTTATCGAACATCGCGAAGGAAATTCACCGAGCGTCTTCCTTTTATCAGATCTCCTATGTTGCAAACGGAACGAAACGAGCAGTTTTTGCGAAAGAAGTTTTATCGGGTACAACAGCGACGTTAAACTGTCATTCGTTCTCTTTATTCCCTGTGGCTCTAAAATATGCTTCCCCGACGAATGCGACCATCGAGATGAGAATCCACGATATAAAACGAACAAATGAAACCTTTGATTTCAATGCAAATCTACCCAGCCGTACGGTGCATAAATTATGATTGTCAAATTTTATTTGCACACAAGATTTCTCAATTTTCGAGTTGCGTTTCACAAATGAATTTACAGCGAAAGAAATACCATCAGGGAAAATTTCAAGAACCTTCTCAGGACATTTTCAAAAGTGTTTTCCGCCGTTTTCACGTTCATACACCGTGCGCTCTCATTGTGGTTTAATTACTCGCGTAATAAGCCCGGAGCGGTCCCGATATAATTCGTCTAGCCGAGTGCTTAATGCCAATGGAAAGAATATTCAACGACACACGCGAAGTGGTGAGCTCCTACGGCTCTGAAATGATAGAGAACCGAGGGGTAAAAGAGAAAAAGATGCTCCCTCGATGCCGGCCATAAAATGTTCCGACGATCGTCCAAAGGAAAATAGCTCGCGGCTTCGCAGCCTAGGAAATGACAGAAAGAAAACATAGCCGGTTTACGGTTTGCCTCCGCGTGCGGTTTATAATATTATAAAGCGACGTCGGTTGAGGGAGGGAACAGCCCTGAGGGTGGTAAAAAAGTGGCGAACGAATGAGTCGTCTGCAGGCCTTCCTTTTTCAACCAGCCAGACCGTGCCGGAATGAAAAAGTGGAAATGGTCGGTGCTTGGTCGGACAAAGAGGATCGTAGACGATGCGGTTGAAACAAAGCGGCTTGAACTGGGAATGTTCCACTGCATTCGGTAAGCAGTTATTTAAGAACATTAAATAAAGTGAGGAACATAGAAAGATAAAATATTTACAGACTTATTTATGTCAATTGTGACCCCATTTCTCTCAAAAACGGGGTCAAAATAAAAAGATATCTCTCCTAAGAATAATCTTTGCGCGATGATTTTCCAGCCGTGTATATCATCCCCATTCGCAGGCTCTGTTTTTTGTCAATTAATCTGGAGTTATCAGTGGGGGTCGGTGGGGTGGTTTCGCCGGATGTTGGAACGCAGTCGAGGGGAAGTTGGTCATTTGTATGACGCCAGCATGTTGCTGTGTATACGGGCGTTATCTGCACTCTGACCTCACCCTGTGGGCTTTCACGGAGAAGGGTAGAACGAGCCGTGACACGTTAACGTGAGCTCCGAACATTCGGCGAGGGTGAAAGGATGGAAAGAGAGGGGTGTAAGCGTGTTTCGGGGGAGAATGTTGTTTATGCGAAACGGTCAGCGTACCGAGTTACGATGTCACCGGCTCGTTCTGGTTGGTTTCATTTGATAATTCGATACCGCTTTCGCACCTCGAGTTTCTTTCTCTCTACGCCCCCGCCTAACTACACACTCGGCTACGATCCAATTAAATTTATCCGGCTGTGTTTTCGGTTCCCCGAGGGAAAAAAAGCGCGCGAACAGAGACGGATAGACGGAATGCAGTTATCAATTTCCCTCTTCTCTTTCCTCTTTTACGACTTCTTTTTGTCACTTTCGAAAGCCTGTGACTCGACTGCCTCGAATCACCGTTGATTGATACGATTCGCTGCAGGGAATGATCCAATTTAAACGGATCAAATTCCTCTTTTCATTTCGCGAATATAAACGCCCGTGCGTACAGTCTGTGCGTTCTCGACCCACTTTCTCATCTCCGGATCTTTCGAAAATCGACAGATCCACGAAACTTTCTTTCTTTCTCTGCTTTCATTATTTTATGGCAGAGTTCGGGGCACACATTTCCGTTTGTTTGCGATTCTCCGTGGTGTATTAGCGAAGTTGAGGCCGACATAGCTTTTATTACCAACTTTCCCCGCGGATCAATCCCTGTCAGATGTCAATGGTATCGTCGCGTTGGTCTGACGGTGATTGATAATGACGGAGCGACTGTTCGAAGGTATACTAACGAGGATACCTTCTGAATAGACTCGTGGCTAGTAGACCGGTCGAGTATATTCGAGAAACTCCGAGAGATTACGGTAACATGTGTTCGAGTATTCAGTCAGAAAGAGGGAAGAAGTGAAACGAGAGAAGGGGAAGAATCAGGGTTAAAGGAAAATTTAGGAGGCGAAAGTTCAACCTCTCTATTAAGATTCACCCTTCTACTCGAGGGTGAAATTCTTTCTAATATTATTATACATACAAATAGAAAATCACAAGTATTATAATTACCACTTTAATAATGAAATATAAAGGATTAACGAGGGATAATCGTGAAAAATTGGGAGGGTTTAATACGCAAACACGATTTTATCTTCGTTATATTCGACGAATCTCAGCGGTCTGCTAGAATTTTGCAAGCCATCTTCACGGACGAACGAGGGAAATCTCAAGAAAAAGTGGGATACCACTTTTCCAGCTGGCAAAAATTCCTTCGTTCGCGGAAATGTCGTGCACGCGAGCCAGTTTGAAGGAATTACGAGATTAACGAAAGCTCTGGGCAAAAAATACTGCTTAACCCGGGTAAGAATAAGAGTAGACGTTTCAACCAGGTGGATTCGCTGCTTTCTCCGTGGGAAGAGGTCGCTATACAAGCGTTGCATAATCGGGTAGCCGCTTAAGAAATGAGTCGAGTTTGCTGAACCGGTAGCAGTTTACTGTTTGCCGCTGTAATACATTAGAATTCTGATATCTGATCGTAAACGGGACGCTCGTAACTCGAAATTCTCTATTCCCCGAGGAAACGGTGTCTAACATTTCACTTCTCCATTCGGAATTCACCATTATATTAATTTCAATAAAAAGTTTGAGACAATGACACAGAAAAATTCCATTTATAATCAACTGAAATGTATCGTTGTTAACAACTCGCTGTTGCGAAAATTATACACTTTTTCGAATATATTTTAATTAATGAATATTACGGCGAACAAAGTTATCGTTGGAAAATTTTCTGAATAAATGGACCGAACGTCACCCGTAATAATACAATGCGCACGGTTCCTGAAAATTACAAGAATGTTGTTAAATTTTGTTTGAAACGAAACTGAGGACATTTTGCAAAGTTTCGTTTGAAACAGTGATACCGGTTGGTACTTGGATCAAAATTTTCTCATTAAATTAATTAGCTACGAACAAGGGTGTTTTTAAATTTATAATTCGATATGAACGTTTCTGGCAGTTTATATTCGAATCCATTTTCAAAGTGTTCAACATTTTATATCTGCGACGATGAAGCAAATGGCTCTTTAACATTAGCATAATCGTTATTTAAGCTACCTTATATCATTACCATAAGTTGTCTTCTCCTTTTTGTAGCCGAAAACCTAAAGAGACTTATCGACGATCGCGTTAACGTTAAAGGGTCACTGATTTCCTCATTTTGCAGGAAGCTGCGTCGATCGATGCAGCTTCCGCTCGAAGCTATTACGAATACGGGATACAGCATCGACGAAGCATAATTCCGTGAACACGTTGTTTTGCTTGCAGCTCCTGTGGAACTTCGCGAAATACCGAAGGGGAACAACGAGCGTCGACCAAACGATGCCAATAATGATTCAACCGAAGGAGATTTACCGGTTTTTGAGCCGACAGCGGCGAACGTCAGCGCATTCGTCGGGCAGACCGTGTACCTGCCATGCCGTGTACGAAATTTGGGAGACAAAGTGGTAAGCCTGGGTAATTTGTTGCTAAAAATTCCCTTCGAGACGTCGTTCGGAAAGACGCGTTGCCGAAGTAACGAGTTTCGTTCGTATAACCACCAAGGGTTTTACAACCGATATGAAAAGTTACATCGTAAAGGTAGAGCGTAAAAATATTGTACCTCCACTCTGAAACCACCATTCCGCTAGTATTGCATTAACCAACGTCCTTAAAGATTTGCAGTAATTTTTTTAAAATACCACACTTTGTCGTTGTTCGATGAAAACGAGGAAATAAAACTTTCAACAGTTCCATAGCGCGGTACTTAACGAGTTAAACAGCGTTCTCGTGTTTCTAGATAATTTAGATATCGCCTGTACTTTGCATAATTTACTATGTCAGAGTTGCATAAAAAAGCGCGGTTGAGTGATAACATTTTCATTATTTATTAAACCAGGCATCAAATTTATTCACTTTTTCTTTTCGCGTAACACGTAGAGTGTACTTGTTAGCTGTCGTAACGATCGTTGATTATGATAAATGCACGTCGTTCGAAGGGAACAAACGGAATGTTAACGAGCGAACGGAGAATTAAGATAGCAGCCAGTCTCCTGGACAGAGGGTGAGAACGCGGGGGTGGATTCCAGCCTCGCCGGTAGATAGGCATCTCGCAGATATCAGCCACGAAGGAAACACGTTGATGTCTCTGTCCCCGTGTACCGTTTTGATAGATTGTCACGAGCACGCCAGGGTCGTGGAACAACACGGAGAAGAGACAAATCCAGCGCGTTTTCGTGCCGGTTCCGTTCTAATCGCGAACGGCATATTTATTGGTCGCTTGTTATTGCGGAAACGACTATTTGTCATGGGCCGGTATTAATTACACCGGGACCCCTTTGTACCGATAACAGAAGCGAAGGGGCCACGACAACGTCGTCGTAGACGCGGGACAACCTGTTTGAATAGAAATTGGCCTACGGAATGGGAAGCAAGACTCGAGCAACTTCCGAAATTAATTGTTACAGTCTCGTTACGTGCGTGCTACGGGGGACACGTGGGTGGTTCTAATCGAAACTACCCTGTTTCGGAGTGAGTTACGAGCCCCCTTAGCATATTTCATAATTCAAAGCGATCTTCTAGATGAAATTACACGCGATTGTTCGAATAACGATCTCCAGAGTGCTTGAGAAACGATCGTGTTAGGATATTAGAATTCATTTCCAAAAATACGTACGATTAACTGATAAAACTTATGAACTTTCCGTGAAAGATTTTCTTCGTTCAAAAACTTGCTCGGAACCGCGGGTCAAAGGAAATTTTTCCATTCCGCAGGGGTCGATTACGGCACGGAAAGTTGCAAAATGTTGCTGAAAGCGGTAATCAACGATTCACCGGAGTCAGCAGTTCCCGATAAAAATCTTCTCGGGCCGCGATCGTCGGGCAACCGGGCTACGCTTGAATGTAAAAGTTTTGAGAATCGATCGAGCGTAGTTAAAGAGGTGAAAAAAGGAGGCGAGGCTGGAGTATAAAAGAAAGCTGGAAATTTATGCTAAACGATGATCATAATCATTTTAAGGGAAGCATCGTCGCGCGCCAATAATCTCATCCAGTCCGATTCCTTCCGCTGCTATAAGATTAAGGGTTATTTTCGTCCTATATTCCCTTTTTATTCCTCGATGTCCAATTATTATTTTTAAATCCCCTTTCAAAGACAACGTTGGAATTATATCAATTTTATTTTTCGATTTCTTTAACAGAGATCAAACGATTTAATTCGATACAGCGTAACATGAAATTAATACACGTTACTTATCGTTCACGGGGTTAATTTGAAAATTAATGAACGCTCGTCGTGAAATTTCACCGAGCGATCGATCGGTTCTTAATTAAATTCCAACTTAGCGACGAGAGCCTTTGATGATCGTTTAAAATCAGACCGCGCAATGTTTATTAACAAAATATTAATAACGCGAAACGAAAAGGTGCCCGTGTTTATCATCGTACCGCGTGTATATAGGCGTTATTTGATGCTGTGAAACCGGCAAAGATTTACGTTCTACAGTGTTTAAACGATCGCTCGAACGAAGTCGGCTTTTCATTTGAAACAGTTTTTTCCCCGTTAACGTCATCGTATCTCGCCTGCGTTCATCCATGAATATTTCAACCGGCTCGAAAACCGTGGACACGCGTTATTTTTTCACCCGTTTAAACGGCAGATTGAAAACGTTTTCACCCTCTGTGTTGCCTTTTTTTCCCTTTCATCGTCATTTTTCCATTGATTTAACTTTAATTGAACGACGGCCTAAGTTGCCGGCAGCATTAAACGGAAAATCGGGAAACGGTCGTTTCGAAACGATTAAAAAACTCGGCCAACCGGGGAAAGAAAACTGTTCAAAAATTCATGTTAATCTGAACGAGCGTGTCCGAGGGAAGAGAGGCACCGATTCTCGGCCACTCTCGTCGAACTTATTCTCCGTCAATATTTGTCGATGCTCTGTTCGACACGAAATTTGGTAGAGGTAAATAGCGTAAAGTGGCTCGTGATCTGTTGACTTTGTACGGCGTTTTAGGGCGTTCGTAGTTTGATGGATGACCGGGAGCGAAGCTGCTTCACTGCTTATGTTAAATAGATAGACCGGTTTCTGTCGCGACTGCGTTATTTTCCCTTAGAATTTGAATTCGCGATTGTCCCAGTTCGATTAATCACGTTTCTGAAATATGTCGAATCAAAGAGGACTCTTTAGGCTAATTCCGAGCTTTACGATTGGATTTCCTTGCAACTGTAATAGTTGATCATCGATGATATGAAAATAGGATCAATGGCAGTGAAACGAGTCGAGGAATAGTCAGACCTGAACAAAGCCACCGATTTTCCTTAAATTGGATGTTTCATAATAGTAATATACTATTGTTAGTTGGATACTAAAAGGATTAAAAGGCTCTTCTATCCACAAATAGCGCAGCTGAGCACTAATACGCTCGGAACAAGATTAAGTAGAAGAAGAGAGAAATAAATCAGACACGTTGAACCACGTGTGTCCCAAATGCTCGGCCAAAAGTGACTCGCGATATGTTGACCCCATTGACCGAGCAAACATCGATGTCATGATGGATCACCATGAAAAAAGGAAGACTTATCAAGATCAATTCCGTCGGATTCCCTCCGCATAAATTGGACATCGCGAATTCCGAACGCGGATTATTTATGGGGATGCGGCTACCCGTAAATACGATTAATTTTCGTTCCGTTCGAAAAACCAGCTGCGCCACTGGATATAATCAACAAGCGGAAACACCGTGGTGTTCGCGGACCTCTTCTTTCCTTTTCCAGCTTCTTTCTCGACGATTGAAATATGCTTGACGCGTTCGAATGCTCGTCACGAGTCGAGCGTTCCTGTTTTCCTTCCTTCTTTTTTTTTTTTTGTTTGATCGACAACGGGTACGCTTTGAACGAATTTCACGCGGATTCAGCGCGTTGCTCGGCGCGGAAATCGAATTAACTTCGGTGCGTTTTCGATTTCGTCGCGGTTAATCGGAATTAATCAGGAAGTTCGAGCGACTTTCAGCTTCGAGCGAACCTTATCTGGGTTCTCTTTCCCTTTACCTTCTTCGAAATTTCTCCTCAGTTTAATTAACTTCGCTTTTAATAAGGCGCTGTTTTTTTTCTGTTTTCAAAAGTTTTCACATGGCAAAGAAAATTCTCGTTAAAGGTTCGAAATGAAATCGAACATAGTGGAAATGTGATTGAAATCGAAAATCATTGATATTCTGCGGTAGCTTTTCTATTGAGAGAAATTATTTCAAATAAAATATGAAATCTGTTGAAAGGCTCTGAATTTTCCATTAAAAGACATTGGAAGTTTATTTTTACCGTGAAATGTTAATTAAACCACAGCTTCGATCGTTTGTTTAGGAACATTTTCGCGATTCGAGCATCCGGGGACGTTATTTCCGGAATTTCGTGAGCAGAGAAGGTAATTCGATGGCAGTTTGACGTCACATCGGTTTAACCGGCATTTGAAGCGGACAATCGCGTGCAATTTTCAAATTTTTCCAAATCTCGTTGGAAACGTTTGAAACTGTCCACTGTACCGATGAAAATACTTTGCGGCGAATCAAAAAAAAATGGAAACAGAAACGGATAAAAAAATAAAAACGCATAGCGAAACAAAAAGTAACTGGGCACGCGTGGAATCAGGCATCTCGCGGTTTCCGGGTTTCCATTTAAACGTATCGTCAATTCTGGGAAGCGTTGCAGCTGCATCAGAACCGTGAATCATTTGTCACGTTTCAAGCTCGAAATTCTAAAATTACGCGACATGCTTTCGGAGCTTTAAGTGGCTCCTCAGAGAATTCGTAGAACCGAAGTAGAATTTATAGAACAATTAGAAATTAATTTCCCAAAGAGTGAGATAAGAAATGATAAGACGATCATTTTCCAAGAAATATTCGCAGCTTTTCTTTGAAAGAAAAGGATCTTCCCTGCAGAATAATGCAGCCAACAAAAGCTAATTTCCATCATGCAGACCGGTAAAGGAATAAAGACAGAAGGGCTTTGTGGATTTTTAATTACGTAGGGCAGCTCTCAAGAAACACGCGAAAAAGAAAGCCTTTCTTTTCCTTCTTTTTTTTTTTTTTCATTAAGATTACACTCGACCGAGCTCTCTAAACAAAACGTTCGTTTTCCTGTTGCCCGTCGTCAAGACGTGGAAGGGTGTAGGATGAAACGAAGCGGAAGGGAGAAAAAATACGCGACGCAGCTGAGAAGAAACGAGCGAAGAATGTGCACGCGTATAAAACAGGGAGAAAGTAGCCGAGGTATTTCAAAGATGAGAGACCACTTTGCGTTTAGAAGGAACTCCTTTACCTTCACGGCTTACTAAATGCACCGGCTATGCTCGAAGGAAGAACGGGGCATCCGGGGAAAGAGCGGCGGAATGAATGGAAAAAAAGAGAAAGGAGGGAAGAAAGGGCGAGAAATGTCGTGCGAAATGGGCCTTTTCTGTCCGAAACCGGGCGACCATTCAACACTTTACCCGTCCGAGAGATTTATAGGTCGACTTGTGTGGCTTGTTGGCCACGAAATTGCATAATTAACGCCGTTTCAAGCCTTTTATCAGATCACGTTCCGCAAAATAATTAATGATTGGTAACCTGGTCGTTTGTATCCTATTATAGTCATTGCTGAATTAACCTTTGGACGGCGGACCATGGAGAGAGCCCTAATTTTAATTTAATTTCGTAAATTCAGGTCTCGGTTGACCTAGACCCTGCTGTTCAAGGGTTAATGGTATTAATGTCAGTATCGCAGATTCGCGTAGTCCATGCAGAGACTCTTGAAGCAGTCTGTCCGAGTTGCAGAAGAAAAGTGTCCGATGAAGAATTCGAGTTCCTCGAGGATAAGAGGGACGTACCTTTTATCACGGTACACACAATTTCCTTGAAAGGTGTGACGTTTGCCGAACAAGTTAGTCCTAGGAGCTTTCCTCCGACATATCACAGGCAGAAGAGATAAACTCGACTGGTTGGAAAAGCTGAAAAGCACCGGAGGAACTGTTTGACGCTCGCGACCGTCGAAAGATGAGATTCCAGGCTTTGAGACTAAGCTTTTCGACTTTCTTTCCCTTTCACGCCCACGTTTTCGAGACTACTCGAAGAAATTCGACGTTCCTCTTTGATGAAAAAAACTGTACAGAGAACGTCCGTCGACGAACGAACCCGGTTATATAAACGTACGTATACGTCGAGACGTTCGGATACGAAGATTGTTTCGGCGTCTGTACCCGAAGCGTAATCCTCTCATTCGAGCAAAGAAATTTCGCGATAAGTTTACGGCGGATGGAAAAAGCGCGAAGCAAAGCCAAAGGAACGAGATACCGTAGCGATTCGAGATAAAAATCCGTTGACAGGACTTAAATCTCCACGTGAAAGTTTCAAGTTGTTCTTTCTACCTCTCGGTACAAAGATTCTTCTGATTCTTTCGCGGTTCATATGCGATTGAAAATTTTTATTGAAAATATTGGAATCCTCCAGAATCTTAGAAAATTCCTTTCACCAGAAGCATTCGATTTTGTTGCTATTCAACCACATCACATTACGGTTTCAAAAGGGACTTGGAAATTAGTTTTCCTGCTCTTTCTTCTACTCTATTTAATAAAGAGAGAGCGTAAAGTTGCTGGAAAAATCGACTCGCCGAGTGTAACCGGAACAGTGGTCGAAATAGAACAACCTGACAACTTTTCATTGTTCGAAATCTTCCTAGAGACGGTAACCAGAGACCCTTTCAAGCTTTTCTAAAAGTGTTTCAAGAAACACTTTTTTAATAATCAAAGTAATTTAAAGTAATCGTTAATGAGAAAAACTGGTGCAAATTAATGTAACGAAAAATGGTACCAATGGTCCACTATACAAGGATTAATTTTCTAAATAAATTATTTAATGAAAAAATATACTCGTATTGAATACTGTAATATTAACAAGGCGATACAGTGACATTCTTCCCGAATTTCAAAAGAAATTTCGTGTCACCTGACACGAAACGACCATGCAATTCTTATTTCGAAGAAACGAACGAGCCATAAAACAACGTCTTGATCGTTTTACAAAACTAACGGTCGCGTATCCGAATCGAAAAGAAAGGAGAAAAGTATCAAATCGAATATGTTTCGAGGAAAATCCATTTTGCTTGACTGCTCGGGTTCAATTTCCCGGTTACCTTTTTCTTTCTCTCGACTGACAGAGGTATTTCTCATCGAAAAATTATGGACAGATATACGAGCCTGTTCCAGTCATCCTTTTGAACGTTTAATAGAAAAGAGATCGATATTAATGCCGCCTAAAAGGACTATGATAAAGAGAAAAAAATAGAAAGAAAAGGCAGGGTAGAGATATAATCAGGGAAACGGGGTATGCTGATAGAATATCGCGAAAGCGGGTGAAAAAAGCATCAGAGACACGAAACGGAACGAAACGAGAAATAGTATCAGTGGAAGGTTCGTGCAGGTCGTACGTTTTCGAGGTGGATACCATTTTAATTACGACCACCGTCCATAAGTCGATCCGTACGGGAGACAACATTTTCTCGGTTTAATTAAGCGACCTCGGGCTTCCGCTTTGCTGAGGTTTCTTTCGCGAAACGAACCGTTCCGTTGGACATTGATTTATTAAATTATTGTTGAAACCGGTCGGCGGTGGTTTTTCATATTAAAGAAAAACGTTAAAGCAGCGCGGTTAATTACAGCAAACCTGTGGCCTACGAATGAATCGGCGAAAAAGCAAATTAGCCGATACACCGCACGCAACCGAATTACGGGAAATTTCAACATTACAACGTCACGTAAATATGCAAAGCGAGTTTGCCTCTCGATTCCACGAGATATGAAGCACTCCCTCTCATTTGGCCCGTTTATTAGCAAGCGGAAATTTTGCTCCGGTTAAATGACCCTTTTGCACGACTACGTCGACGTCTCTCAATTTCTACACGTTCAGCCGGATTTATAATTCACCTTCGTGCACGCTTTTTCGCCCCGATCCTTTCGACAAACATTTAACAACGATCCGTGTAAAGGATCTCGTAAACGTCACTATTAAAGGTCCATTTGGAGAATATGCACGTTTTTCGCGTTCTACTAAAAGCTTTTTACCTTTTTGATATCGTGACACTGCGACATTCCTTCTTTCCCTTTTTTTTTTTTTTCACGTGTTTTCGCATAGTTTAATGTCATGCTCCGAGTATTACGTAAAAAATTATGAATTCTAGCTGTCGCGACGCTGCGACGTTCGTGAGATATATTAAATTTCGTACGAGACAAAACTTTGGTTTAATCTTGTTTCTTATCGATTCGACTTTACGACCTGGACGGCGAAGAAAAGAACGAGCGGAAGCTCGTACGAAGATCAATAAAAGTTTATCAACGGAAATGGGAAGACGTGACTTCGATCGCGAGGAACGGCCACGAGAAGAAAAATTGTGGACTCACCAATTAAATTTCTGGGACACGGTGTGTTTGGCGAAACGTCGATGCCATCTGGCTTCATACTTTACTTTTCCTCGTCTGGCAGCTTCTTCTCTGAAGGATGTCGATAAAATCATTCGAGGGGTCATCTAATTGTTTTCCTCGGCAAGTTCCAGCGAAAGGGGGACGCCTCGTCTTGACGTCGTGACAAACGACGCCTCTCCACAAAAAAAAAAAAAAACGAGCCTCGTCGATCAACGAAAGGATAAAAGGACGGTGACCTCCGATTTTTCTGGAATAAGAAAGAACTTCTCTATATCCACCAGTTACGAAGTCTGGTGAAAATTCAAAATCAGAACCACCTTTTGTTTCTCAAGCAAGCCGCTGAGAGAAGTGTACTTTCAAGAGAGTTGCCGGTAGTTTAGAAAGTTTTCGAGAACGAAACTCAAACGTAGAGCGCACGATTAAGAGGGGAAAATTAGAATTAAAAATTTTAAAACCGACCTCGCTACGCTATTGTAGAAACGCGTTATACAGAGAGTTGTCCAGGCGAATGAAAGCAAGAAAAAAGAAAACAGAGAAATGAGAGAACAGAAAGTGCAGTGGGTCTTATCCTTTTTACGATATTTTTCTAATTTAACTTGTGAAAATTCCACAAAATGCTCCACTTAGGTTTCTTTTCTTCAAATAAGAAAATCATTTCGAACGAATGTTTTGTTAATTAAACAGTAATAGCACTGGAATATCAAACAAACGTTGCTATTAATAATAATTAATTATGAAGAAATCCTTAGCCTTTTTCGATTTCAGTATCGAGGATTAAATTAGTTGGTCGAATGAAAACGCTAATAACCATCGGTCGATGCTTATTGGACAAGCTTTCGGTTCGGTTTAAAGTCGAATTTCCGTCTCAGTTATCCTCGTTCAGGATTCATCCTCTTTCCTCGTTACGCCTGCACCTTTCACCCTTTCCCGTGATGCGTCCAAAGTTTTACGAAGCCACGAGGTCTGGTAGCGCCACCACTGGTTTCCAAACAGGGGTTGTTACCACTTTTATGAGGGAGATTTCGAGCTTAGCCGGGCAGATAACTTCGCTACGCTCGTCGCTTAATCGGCCTCCGACCCAACTCCTCTTCCGCGCCTTCAACTCTTTTCTTTTTTTTCGGTGAACAGTTTTAACCCCTATTCGTTCGTGGTCTCGCCCCCCTCCTTTGGAATCAAGCGATTCCAGGATCAACCGGAACGGACCATTTCAGCTTCAACGTGAACTGTTTACGAGGCCTGATTCCTTTCTACGTTTTGCGTGATGGGAATATGGAGATTCCACGAAATTGCCTCCCTTTTATTGGTCCAGAAGAAATAAAATAAAATTCCCGTTTTTTTTTTCTTCCGAATCATTTGAAAATTCCTTGCGATATAATTCAGGAATCGTGGACGAAGAGGGGTGTTCTTTGTGAATTTTTAGAAATGGTAGACTTTGACTAAACGAATGTAACAATATTGAAATAAGAATATTCTGGTACGTACAATACGGTACGTAAATTGAACAAGCCACGAGCAGAGACGAAAAGACACCAGGGACAATGATCACACGGAATTTTCGAGGATCGCCTATCCCTTTTGCATCCTAGGGTTCTCACCGTAAAGCTATCTCTCGATTCACGCCACTCGTAGCTTCTTTCTACTTTGAATAATCCACGCTGAATATCCCGAAGCCGAGCCGAGTCTCAGAGAATTATTTAAAGTCGCTTAGGATCAACCGCGTTCAACTGTGTCGGCCATTCTGCTTGCGAACGAGGTTACCGCGTTTTCTCGACAGTGTAATTTCTGTTTAATCACGATTTTCCAAAGAATTTCATTTTAATAAATATCTCGTAACGATTATCGTTTCGAATCGATCAAACGGGTTACAGGCATTCGTTTACTTATATTTCACAGTATTTTATTTAACATTTATTCGCGGAATTGTATTGATTAAATGGCAATTATCCGGCTGTAAACGAAGCATGAAGAATTATCTGTCAATTTCACGATTCAAAGATATTGTAGAATCATTGCATCGATCAGAGGATCGGTAAAGGCTCTTACGGATTTCAAAAGATTTCCATACTCATTGAACGTACCATTGAACTCTAGTTTCTCCCTATCGAGTCAATTACCAGAACACTCGCTTTCAATGTTCGCCCTCATCAAATGCGATTCTCATCAAGCGTCGTAAATTATACGGTGATCAATACTTCTTCGATAGCTTTGACCTCGTAAAGGCGAATATAATTTGTATCAAATAAAAATTCTGCGAAGCGAGCAAATTTTGCATCATTATCTTATCCACCCTATCGAATTCTCAATAATTTTCTGTCAAAATTATAATTATTACAATTACTGTTCTAATGGACCAATATAGAAAAATATAGAGGGAACGCATTGAGGGGTGGTAGCGACAGAGAAAGGAAGGGACGGTTTAATTTATTCATTGACACCCGGAGCATTTCGGACAATAAAACAGTATCGGTTTTTCCGTATATATCGGATCGAACAGCGCGGCGAAACGAGGCTCGTTTTTGGACGGCAGCCGCGACGGGGGTGGCCGCCAGAAGGGGTGGGTTAGTTTCATTTAAGCGTATCAACCGGTGAATGCGGGCCGTTGTTCTGGACCGGGCTAAAAACGCCTATACGAGACTTCGCTATCGAACAGTTCTCATCTCCGTTTAACTTTAACACCGCCACCGGTCTCCGAACAGGCTTCCGGCTCCCAGTGAATGCATAAAAATTTCATCAAATGGCATCGGTTACCGCTCCAAGACTAACGTGTACGTAATGAAAGCGCTACACGTGCCGCGAGAAATAACGATTCCACCACTTCCCACCCCCACTTTCTCCTGCCCCTCGCACCGGTCGAAAATAACGAGAGGGGATGAAAATGAACTCCCTGATACTCGACCATCCCTCGCTATCGCCAGTTTCCGAATATTTCGGTAATTGATATTTCGGGTTCACCCGGCCGATCGTTTGTTTTTCTCCCCCGAGTTTCTTTTTTTAAAAAGCATCCCTGGATAGAGAATACTTTTGGAACTTGAACGGATTCTGTCTATGGAGCGTTCGGATTAATCTATTCTACTTTTAATCGATTTTCTATGGGATCACTTTTTTCTGTCGATCTTTTATTCTTTTATTTTTGTAAAACGTGTGTGGTTTGTTGAAATTGATTATGATAGACACGGTTGAAATGGAAGGTGAAAGGGGATGAAGAATAAGGAGAAACGAAAGGAGGGACAGAATTCAGCTCATAATCTACGTAACAAGCGGCCTCTCCATCCCTCTTTCGCCATCGTTCTAGTTGAAGGGGCCTCTTCAATAAATCACGTGCTCCAACACCGTGTAAACAGGACTGACTTAATAAATCTAATTATCTGCGGATGGTGAGCGTTCCTTCCAGGAAAAATAATTTATCGCGAAGAATTTTCGGTGCCGATACCGTGTTTCGACTCGATCGTCTATCAAAACTGTCCGCGAGAGAATATTTATTAGCTTAAAGGTGTGGCGTACGAATTTTATGAAAATTTTTACTCGAAATAGTTCCTCTAAATGATTCGTGTAAATTCGATTGATAAACATCTGCCGATTCCCATATCGCAGAAAATTTCAAAATGTTTGAGACAGGGAAGGTTGCTAAGTTATTTAATGAGACTTCTGCAAGTTTCTACTTTATCCCTGCACTTCTATGCACCTCTCTCCCTCTTCTTTACTCACTTGATTTACTTTTCTTTCCATCGAACTTCCTCTCCTACGAAACTTTGTGATTACGGATCTGATAGCGTTTCTCTTTTTTATGAGACTTCCTCGAACGAGAAATCTGAACGGGGTTATCGCGACACTGTATCTTCCAATTTAACCCTTCCTTTTCCCATTGAAAATTTGGAAAAATTTAATTAAACCCAATACAATTGTTTTAAAATATTCCTGCATCCCTTTTTATCAAAAGGAACCCAAAGCATCCCACTTCTACCCTTATTTTCTTCCTACCATGTAGTTCTTGCATAGGCATTCAGCCAGACACCCTTCTCGTCCTTCTTCAACTAGGAAAACTTCAGTGAAGTGAGAGACCGGTCGACTCTCGATAGCTAGATCCCGTCTGTTTTACGACATTATTTTCCTCGCGCTCCAAACTTCTCGATCACTTTTATTAGAATGCAACCCCGGGGATTAACGTGGCTGCGAATGTCCCTTGGAATTGTTTACCACGCAACTCCCTATTCTACTTGCCGGAGGTCTTTCAACTTCCGACTAGGAGCACGGTTAACAGACTCCCTTATAATCCAAGAAATCAGTAATTGGTTTAAAGAATCACGAACTTCTCGATTCGCTAAATTTCAGAATTACGAGGACACTTTTTTCCTCCGACCTCATTCTACGTACTCTTCAACGTTTTCCCCTTGTTTCCTGGGACTTTCTCAATCTTATCTTCGAGTCAATTTACCGGCGACCTATTTTTTAAATTCTTTCGTTCCGGCGTTTTCGTCGCTTCCACCAATTTTTCCCGCGACATCCCTCTTTCGTCCAACGATTTCGCCGCCGTATTTTCTCTCGCTTCGTGCTCGTGCATACTCGTGTGTCAGGTTCTCTCGTCGACGCCGCATAAGGGCCGTCATCCCGATTTTACCCCGCGGTGGAAATAAAATTTCCTTCGTGCAGCGAACGTCGTTATTCGCGCTCCTGCGACTTCCTTCCTCGTACGTTTTCACCTAGCGAACTCTCACGTAGAGGCCTCGTAAAAACCGGTCCGTTCGTGGAACGGGGCTTTAACAAGTTAAACGGCACCCCTTTCGCCGCTACACGGAAGATTTCATCCCTTAATCCCCAGAAACGTGATCCATCATTCTCGGTGGTCAGCTTTCTGGCAACCCATAATCCTCCTACCGTTACAATTACCCGGATAGGGTTGACGTTGAAATCGATTCAATTTGTTTGTTATTAATTTTTCAGACCGTTCGAGGAAGTTCGCGATGAATCGCCTGGTCCCAGATCGGTGCACGAGTTCTTGAAAGACTGTCGAATAATTGATCCAAGTTCGATGCTTGAGAAGTTTTGGAATCCACTCGAAAGCCACGAGAAGTGGCATTAAAAGCATCGCGGTTCGAAGAATAGAATTTCTTCCCCAACTACTTTTGCCATTCTTGTATCCAAGAATGCTCCGCTAGTCAAACAGTCCTTACGCTTTTTTCGACGCACCCTTGAAACGAGCGAGTGCTAACAAGCATTTCCTATTTTTATATTTAGCACCGAGGATCACTGTATTTATAATTTCGATCATACAAATTTCACTAGATTCATATATTCCTCAGTGTGTCCAATATTATGACTAGATGATGAATCGCTAGAGAGTCTTCCTATAAACCTTCCTACGCCTAGGGAATACTACTATTTTACCATTCTTTCTCTCAGCACCAGCAATCTTAACATCGTTTCAAAAAGATATACAGCCCTCTCGAGGGGAGCATATTAAATCTCAGCCAAAAATTGTTTCACCCTTGGAAAGATAACGTGCCGGATGCGCGGATGGTGCAAGAATAATGTTGCGTTGTCAGAAATGTATCCCTGCTACTTTAATTTTATCCTAGCATCGCACGTTGCTAAGATGTCTAATATATATTTCAAGTTTCGCTCCTCGAACGCGCATATCGCAGAGAATAATTGAAGTTTAGAACGAGCATGCCACTCTAGTCGCGCATATTACTTGTCCGCAACGAACAATCTCATGGTCCTCCCGACGTAGCGGGTAGCCGCAGTTTAACATGGATGAAGTAATCGGGAACAAGTTTGATAGATCAGACCACAGACGTTGGTAATGCGTGGTGGCGATTAAGCAAGGCGCCATTCGAGGTCGTAATTACGATGATCGAAGAAGTTCGATGAAACGATCCAACGTCAGTCAGCAGCCGTGCCGATCGCCGCTTCGAGTTTTCAAACATCTGCAACCACGGGGCTCTGCGTTCGTTCGCAGCCGCGACCAACGAGATTTCGACACCGCTCGAACCTTAACGAGAAAATCGGCCCTCGGGAACGACGTGAAACTTCGGCCGGCAACTTGCCACGATAACCGCCGTTTCCAGCCCTAGACGTCTGAACTCTTGATCGAGGGTAATTACGTCGGAAACGAGCTTGATCCCCGTTACAATAAACCAACATTCGAGTAGAAAATTTTAACGAAAAATTTGAAAAATATTCGTCAAAATTGGGGAAGACAGAGACTTGAATTTTTGGCGAAATGACGGGGCTTAATTTTAATTAATTAAGTCCCAAATCCCTATCGATCCCCTCGAGGATATTTTCAAGAATGGCTAATACGCTCCTGATATTCATTTTTCTTGAAATGGTAATTTCTTCTTTTTGATAAAGACTGTGCAAGAGAGAAGATTATTTCCAGTTTCATCAAGGTACTAATGTCCTTCCGCGTTGATAAATGCATTCGTACGATGCATCTTAATTCATTATTTCACGTCAGTCCTAGAAAAAGATGAATGCGAATGCATTTCGTATTTTATTACAATACTTTCTGACACAAAGCTAAATGAATTCATGGAATTAATGAAACGGCGAACGTATGAAACTGAATATTAGAATGTTTCCTATCAGTTTTCATTGAAAAGAAACAGATGGAAAAATTTTGTACTTTTTCCCTTACTCTATTTTTGTACAATTTTCTGGCGTAATTACTTCTTGTTAAAAATTGTCCGCTTTTGTCGAGTTATCGATTTCTCTGTCTCTATTCCTCTCTCGAGAGCCGTACTATACGCGATGCAATCGGAAACGACGAGATTTGACGGAATTTAGTTTTGATGCGATGCTCTCCGTTCCGTGGAAATCCGGCAAAGGCAGTGCCTCGTCGATATCGACGACACTTCCCCGATATCTTCTTTCTTTCTGTTCCGATCTTTTCGTTTGATTCCAGCGTACAAATCGAAAGTGGGCCGCAGTCAAACAAGCTTCGTTTATCTCGCGTATTTCCACGATCGACCGTAGAATTTTGATAGTAGACATTTTCCAGATACAAAAACTCGCGATGAATCGAGAAAAAGAACCGTACCTACGTGAAACACAAATTATTTTTCTATCGAGTCTCGACTGGTTTTTCATCGAAAGGAAATTGACAATGATTTGCCTCTGAACTTTGAGCACACGTCAAATTGCCGCCGTTCGCGTACAGGAACTGAATAAGATTCAACGAAATCGTAGATTTTCGAACGTATTCTCCGTGTATTCAGCATATTCCCATGAAAGCGTGACGCGCGCTCACCGATTCAATTAAATGGCACCGTGATTTCACTAAACGGGTACGCGGAATCCGCAGGGCATTGAAAGGGCAACGATATGTCTGTTCTTTCTGGATCGTGCAGCACGCACGGGATCCGAACACATACACCAGTCGAATAGCAAACAGAAGGTCTCTGTTCATCGAACAGAGAAAACTGAGTTTCCCATTTCCCTCGCACCGTTTCGTATTGTTCCATCGGAATATATGTTCAGAAACTGGCATTCCTCTGCTACCGATCCTCGATTTCTCTCTCTTCCTCTCTGATACTATACCCGAGACGATCGCTATGCTATTTCCGACGGGATGGTCGAAAGGGCTTCGGATAATGTTATATCGTATTTCCGTCTCTTCATGATCTACCGATACTTTTCAACTTTCGATAATTGACGGACCGTGGAGAGACTGCGCTGATGGTATATAACCACCCCATAAACTCATCGAAAATCTTAAACTTCCCGTTATTACCATCGGTTTATTGTCGACTTTATAAAGCGAGACATTTCCTGTGGGAGTAAAGTCAATTTATTTGCTGGAATTTCGATGATGCAGAATTTCTCTATCGCGGCTCGAACGATTCTCTATTCGTTATGGCACTATTTAATTTATTTCAGTTTTGTAATAAATTTCCTTCTGTCCCTAAATTATTCTACCTTCTTTTTATCATTTAGAATCTAAGTATTCGTTTTGGAAAAGAGTATTAAATCTTGGAAAGGAGGTGAATCGTGTCTTTGCAAATGTACCATTTTGAAAAGTGGATCAACGAGAAGAGACGATTGGCGTTGGTTCGATCGAGGGATCGATTCGCGAACCATTCCGTATCCGGATGATCCGACTGTATGATGTTCGTTTATCCTCTCGACGATAAGCCGTGGCCGAGTGTCGTCGCAAAAAGACGCTGCTTTCGAAGGGTGTTCGTCGCGAGATGCTTTCTCGGGGGGCCGTCATCGATAACCTCCTTTTTCCACGCTACACAGAGTTTACAATCTTTTCAACGTCACCAAGATTACTTATCGCAGCTACAAAAACTGATTGCTTCGCGGTTAGCTGATCGATCGACGCTCGCGTTGATTCATCGCGTTAAATGATCTTGGAAATTGAAAATGATGCGATGAAAACGAGCCGCTCTCGTCGGCAATTTTAAGCCCGTAAACGATCGTGGAAATTTTCTGCTTTATAGAATCGTAATACCGTTATTAAATCGACAATTACGCCGTTTTCAGCGTGAAACGATTCGAAATATAATCGCGATAACAACTGAGCTCGAAAATTTCATTTCTTTTTGTTCGCGTGGATAAACGTTTGATTTAGATTCTTTAATGTTTTTAACGATTCATTTACCCTCGAGAAAGCAATTTTGAGAACAGCAATGTTAGTATCTAGAAACGATTTCGAGGATCTGCATTCCCTCTGTAAGGACAATTCCGATTAAAGACCGATTTACCAACTTCCAAATTCTCGATTCCATTCGAAACACAAGAACCATATCCAGTAATTGTAAAGTCCCGATTGACCATATGGAAACTCAGTTAATACTTGGTATGTTTATTACACGATCGTCTATTAGATTTCTCTGTACAGTACATTCGTTTAACTCGGTCGAAAAGGTATCAAAAAATTGTTATAAAATAATGACTGTCTTTTTCAAGGTAAAAAGTGTTTTGTAAAAGACACCGAAACATTGTAATAATAATAACGTGTAAATGATATTTACACGAAAAATCCCTTGTGATCCAAATGATACATTTTTCAACGTTCAAATGGATTTCATTGTTCACTATTTTGTTTGTAATTTATATTTACACAGGCGAAATGCAACCGGATAAATTTCATTTGTCGAATGGCATGTTCGCTTTTGGTTCCGATAATATTATTTTCACCAATCGTTCAGCGTTATTCAATTTCCTGCGTGTTATTTTAACGCATTGTTTCATCCCATCGCGATATCACCGATTTAGGAAACCTTTACAATATAATTTAACCGCGTTTCGATGAAACAGAGTCGATTTTGGGATTTTTTAGCGTATGTCAGTGAACTATTCGAACAAAGTAGAAATTAAAATATGACGATGTTTACATAACAAAATTTGACGAACGTTTACTATACGAGAAACAATTTTATTTTGTCATATTCCGTGAAAAACAAAATATTCAAAAATACACACGAAACCCTTTGAACATTTCTTATTCAGTTTTGCACTTTTTTGCTTCCTCTTGTTACGTCTATGGATAGGAAACGTTGGCTTGATTTATATTCAAAGGGAAAAAATGAATAGGTGGACAGAATCTAGTTACCAGTAATGGAGATTTCGAAATACGCATCGAACACGAGTGATCAACGATACCGTAATGAGATTTTTACATATTCCTGCTTTTCTATCTCTCCAACTCTGCTTGTTTCATACGGTAATAATAATAGTAATATGACATTCTGAGGGAAAGCTGCGAGATATGAAATATGGAAAATAGGAAGGGAACTGCGAACGAAAAAACGGATCGAGTTGAAACGCGTTCAAATTACGAATATAACAGCAAACTGTGCCTTTGAGTTGTCAACTAAATTAACTTGCAATTTCAAATTAAATTTAAACATCCTATTTATAATATTGAATTAACGTATTAATATTTGAGAAACAAAATACAGGAATATTATACCGATAATGTAGATTAGCAAACTGATAGCTTAAGTAAGTAAATTTAAATTTAACAATTATGTGCTTAATAATTTTCATATTTCATATTGTAATGAGAGTATTTGATGTTAAAACAGTATCGTTGAAGAATGCTAAATATATGCACTATATATATACTAATATGATTGGTATTACTTATAAAAAAAAACTAACCTTAGGTATACCGGGTTTAGGACGCCACTTATGTAATTCTGTATTTCCGGTGGCGACTCCACTCATTGGACAACATGCTACAAGTCAATATGGCATCGTACAGACCTGTCAAAGCACGCCAAGTACACACATTTTTATCTACTCGTATCTTAACATTGGTTTCCTGAACTTTTCAGGTCGAAAACTACAAGATTTGATAATTTTTAACCAAAAATTTTTGGGATCCTGAGACAAAGTGCAGCCGAATTAAGCAAAAGAATACAATGTAGAATCACTTAACTCGACTCTTTAATTATCTTTTAAAACAATTCAAATGTGTCCAAACTTCTTGGCAATAGTGTATCTACGTTCCGAATAAATAAGAATAAAGTAATTACGTGTACTTACATGATGTAGTTTGTTTGAAGTCATCTATGTCGCAGTGGATGCCATCGAACCTCTCTCATCCAAATTCCACACAACACTAAACGTTTCGTCAACATTCCCAGGGACGATGTTTACAAATTTGGCCCCCACCTCCTTGCCGTGCCGTCGCGGAGCCAAGTATGAAACTGGATAAATTTCATATTAGAATTTACACGTATTTAGAATTTGTTTCTGTCGTTAGACATTCTTTGAAACTTCGTTTTTTCCTTCCCGTAGTTATTTTCAATCCCTACTCGATGCATTTCCCAGTACGGTCCCAGACAAAAATGAAATTGTAGTAAAACCTTTGATCAAAATATTCGACGAAACGATGCAATATAGTATTTTTCATTTCAATAGTTAAAAGAAAATAAGGGAAAACATGTTTCAATGGGATAAATAGAAAATAGGAGCTTTCCACCAATTCCTGATGAAATCTATAGGTACTATTGAAACGACGTATTAAACGGTACAGAATAGAAACAAATACATTCATGTCTGGTGTACTGTTATTCGTTCACTTTTCTTTTTTATTCGTATTTCCGTTTTCGAACGGTATCACCATAACAATGGTCTCGAAATCGATAGACCGTGATGTTACTCTATTAAATCATTTGTATAACAAGCGGAGGTAATATTTCATATTTTTCTAAATATATTTCCATGATTCATCGAATGAAAAAATTGTTTAATATTAAATCTGCTTACCTTTTCGAGTCAATTTATTTTATAATTTTAATTTTCTTAGAATCACTATTGAAGACACACGATCGTTTATCATCCAGATTTCATTCTGAAGCTTTCCAAGGAATCGCGAGGTATCCATCGATATTCCCATGAATCCGTCATCCGTTATCGGGCTCGATCACCATGACAATGCACCTAGAATTCATGGCGTCGAGTCACCTCGACGCCAGTCGTGATCATGGCCCACCCAGGCGCGAACCAACTCTGGATCGCTTGAACCTGACTGTGTTACAGCAGGAAGCTCCAGCCAGTTTTCGGAGTATGATTTTCAGGAAGATGCTATTGTAAATCGTTTCTTATAATTACCCCTTAAAAACAAATAATTTTTCATTAAAATTTTACCATGTAACACGATGTAGAAGATCTTGATGGAAATACATTAATAAATCTATATTTGTTTTAATTAACACCTTACCTAATGATGAAACGAATAAGCAACCTTCTACCTTCGATCGCACGAGACAATTTGGAAATTTTCGATGGAATCTTAAACCCTCTTCTGAGGTAACGTTCTTTATGGATTTTGCTCCGTCAAATCCTTGCAGCTAAGCAAATCTCCCAAAGCCGCAGTATTTCAATTCAGAAATTCCTCCGATACCTCTTTGCCAATGACGAGATTCGCGGAAGTGAAAAACATCGATGGAAGACTCGTCCCTTTCATCGGTGTTTTCAGGGCGGAGGAGGAAAAAATGGAGCGCATTGTAGAAATTCTCACGAAGATTTCGCGAGGAAATCCAAGCTTCTTTCAGTCGGAAAACGTGCAACGGTAAGCGAAGTAGGAGTTTCCGTGACTGGGTTGAAACGTTTAAAAACGATTGTTTCGTTAACCATTTCCTCGTGACGATGACATTTTTCAGCTCGTTATCGGGCTATTCGTGGCCACGCGATTAATAGTACTAAACCCCGGGAAGAAAAGGAATCCAGGCTCGCTCGTTTTATCGATATTCACATGCGAACGCGCAATAAAACCGTATCGCAACGTACGACAGCTCCGCCCGTGGACAAGTAGCTCGAAGGAAATACGAGGAAAGCAGAAGGAAAGGAAGGAAAAATCGAGCGTAAGGGAGTGTAATCGAGTGTGTAGCGTTATTGCTATTGTCAAATATCACGATCAGCGAATACTCGACGCCGCGGGATCGCAATATCGAACGGACGTGAAAACAGGGTCAAACTGATGACACCGTTCCTTCCCTGAAGCGCCTCCCAGAGATTATTCGAACGAGTAGCCGATTCCAACCTAAATACCACGCCTATTTATTGTTTTATACCCTTACCTAAAATTATCTAAAATTAGTTCATTAATTATTTTCACGTCTGGCAAAGTCATTTTTGATTTTCCTATTGACCATTTGAATTTTTCCATAAAGTACCATTCATTTAATATTTGTCTATGATTACAAAAGTCTGTAGACTCTCAAAGACTTTATTTTCATATCGTCTGCTGAATTTTTCTTTGATTGAAAGGAATAAGGGTGTCGAGAAGCAGTAGGAGCTATAAATTGCAGCACGTGCTCTCGAATGGTGTTTTATTACGCGTTATTGTGCAGTTGAATTACACTTAAGCCGCGTAGAATCCCCGAGAAGCTAATAACAGCGACAGGAGAATTTATTCGAACCTTTGAATTTCAAATCAACTAGGACGCTGGAACGAATCGTCCTACGCTTTGTATCCATTTCACTGATCACACGCTGTTTCCCTCGGCAATCAACGCTCCCCGAACGATTCTAAAAATTTGCAGACGATTCTTCCCCTTTTTAGTTTTCCACAGAATTTTATTCTTTAAGGTTGACCTTTAAAGTTTTCCGCCCCGATAGATCACTAATCTCGAACGGTGAAAACGCGTTTATACCGTTCAGGGTGGGAAACAAAACAAATGCGGTTGTCGAAACGGTCGATTTACGAGGAACAGCTCCTTTTATCAGATTTCCAAACACCATTTTCATCAGACACTCTGTATGATAGAAACACGTTTCGAACGAACGCAGCCCGGCAACTGTGTTAGCCAGGGGAAAAAGGAGAAATTGCTGGGCGTAGGTGTACCTATCATCGAGCGCCATTCAGGCAATACCCGAGAAGCTTTATGAACGATTGAACTCGTATTTCCGACAGAAAGTACATCACCGTGGACGTTTCAACGACGAAAACAACGAACAGCGTAGCACGGCTCGAAGGAAATATGAAAGTTACGCCCGATCGAGCAACTATATTTCATAACTCATGATGACGACGTTACCGGAAAGAATCGATATCAGTTTTTAAGTAGCCGCTGGCATTTCCTTTATTTTCTCCTATCCGTGCTTTGTAAATAATATATTTTAACTTAAATAAGTTAGCTTTCTCTTTCCCATTCTGCCTTTATTTTTCTCCAAGCATCACGATGGATTTTAAGTACCATTTTATCGGCAATTTACGTCCAGATTCGAGCTAATTAGTCGTGGAATTGTTTGCGGCTGCGAAAGGATTTCACCATGATTTCTCACCGCGTGCCCATCATCCGCGTAATTAAGTCTGCTCGTGAAGGCAGTAAAACATAATAAAGGCGAGAAAGAAGTTCTCGGTTGGAAATTTCCGACGATATTAAAGGTTCTACGGGTTATTCGGGGCGGATGCTTCGTCCCGTGGAATGCTTGAAATTAATAATTTCATACGTGCCTTTGATATAATCGTATCGAATGGCCGTTTTATGCCTGTTACACGATAAACTGATACAGTTCCACGCGGTTCGATAAAAATGAAAAATGTACGTCGTGACTCGATTCGGCGATAGTAAACCGATCGTTTCTCGATTGCTGTTCGAACGAGATATAAACGCTTTGACGGTCTGCTATCAGACACGAGATCGCCTTTCGAACGAGATGAAAGCCGGGGCAAAAACGAAAGAAAGCTTTTGCACGGTTTACACGGTATTACGGGGAATCCATGCCGATGTAATCCCGGCGTGTAGCTTCATGAAGGTCGCAAGAAATTCCCGATGAGGATCGGTGAACGGATCCATCCACCGGCAATCCGAAAGGCTCTTCCATATATGTATGCACTCGGTAATTCCGTCGTTCGACCTTTTTTCGCGACCACCGGCTGCTGGATCGTGCGACGCTTCCATGTTTCCTACCCTCTTCGAATTCATTTTCCCCCCGCATCGAAACGAAACCGAGTCACGATACGGGGTGTAAATAATAATCTATATCCCCTTGTTAATGCGAACATGAAAGAAAGAAAGAAATTGAAACGATTCCCTTTATGGAGTTTCCATGCTTTGAAAAGTTGTATAGAAAGTAATAATACGATCTTCGCTTTACTTCCAGTCGAAGCTTAATTGCTGTAAGCGCTTCCTCGTTAGAGAAAAACCAAGGGGAATACAGTTTCTGAAGGAGAGATTTTAGAGAATCCTGTGTTCTTGAACGAGTAAAGTGACGTGTATTATGTAAAGGAGTTGAAAGTTAGCTGATATTAAATTCGCGCCGGAGGCGCAACGTGTAAATTAAAAATCGTGTTTTATCAAGGGAAAGAATTTTTCTCTGGCTGGAAAATTTTTCCGTGGCTAACAAATATCGCGAGATCGTTTGCCCGAGAACTTGTTTCCTCTCGCCTGTACGGTGAAAAGAAGAATGATTTGCATGTTTCATAAAGCTCCAACGTGATCCGCGTCGAGAAATGCAACATCCTCTCTCAAGGTCAGTACGAAATTCACAATTCCGGCTAGTAAAAGGATATTCCGAGATTCCAGCAATTCTCCTACATACATGCATGTCGTTATGGTAATTTTGATCCCCGACGGTGCTCGCACGCGCGTCGAATTTTCCCCCGGGATACGCCGGGATACCAGGGTCATATTCCCTTTTTGAGCATCTCCCTGATATTTTCTTTACCGTTCGTCCCCGGCTTTTGCATGGAACGACGAATAACAATGTCCCAAGTACTTCCGGATAATAATAAAGATCGTTACGAAGCACGGTGGTGCAAGCAGGGTGGAAAATTTGTAGGGAATAACAAAAGGGACGGGTACGTCGTCTTCCTGGCTCGTAGAAACGTACAGTTAAGCTCTTTTTCTGCTTACAACTTGTTATAAATTTTCCTCGTTAACTACGTCTCAACTCTATGTTAGCAACGTTTAAAGTAGACGGATTTTTATTTTCAGATCGTCTAGTAACGATGCTATTTTATTGAAGCACTTTTGAATAATGTATTTGTAAATATTTGTAAACTCGTCATAACAAGTGGTATAAACGTGCTTGAAATTTATGGCACGATTAAAGTCCCTCGAAGATGTATCGGTTTAAAGGTATATAATAAATTCTATCTTTGATAAGTGGCAATTCGCTTAAGCAAACCGTCATTGCCGAGCAGTTGATTCGAACACCATTGAACGTCTGAAACGTGTAAAATCAAATAGAAGAACCAGCGGTTAATCAGGTCGTGAAGAAGCTGAAAGAAAAAAGGGAGAAAAAGAAAATGCTTCTCTGGTATCGCGTAGACGGTTCGTCGAAGGAACGAAGTTATAAACGAAGCCGGTGTGGCTCGAATAAAAATCAGAGGTTGAGGGTGGTTACGACGTCCCCGCGGCGGGAACCCGGGATGAAAACTCGATCAGCGTCGTGGCCGGGGTTTGGGGCGGCGGTTCGGTAGATGGGAGGAAGGGGGATGAAAGTCGTCGGTCGATGGACGAAGGGTGTCCACCACCGCGATTTCTTCCCTAGACGGCCATACGTACACCGACGACGAGGATATCGTAGCTTTCGAACGGATAAGGGGTGGGACGGGGGTCGGACACGGTCGTGGGTTGATTTCAAATGATCCTGGATTTCCAGGGGGTGAATAAAAAAGGAGAGGTCCTCGGGAAAGTGAAATGAATTTCTCGTGGCAAACCCTTCTTTCCCTTTTTTTTTTCTCTTCTTCCTCCTCCTACTCTGCTAGCCCCTTTTGTTTCTCTCCCTGTTTTTTCACCTCTGTTAAGGGTGCTCTCGTGGTCGAGTTTTACCGGGACCAAGAGATCAATGGAAACATAGAAAAGCGGAAGAAGGAATCTTCCACGCGAAGGTGGTTCCAGGGATAAAGGAGGAAAATCTCGAGGGAGATGAGAATTTCAATGCGAATCGTAGTCGCGGATGATGATCGATCTTTTTCGGTGGTTGGCTATCAGGAAGCAGGAGCTCGAAAATGCTTTGACCGTTGCCTTCGTTCCGTGGATTCCCCTCTTGTGGCCCGGATGCCTGGATACCATTCATGCTACCACCGGATGAATAGCTAAGAAGGAAATTTGTTAAAGGGAAACGAGATTTGATAGTCCCGCTTGGCTTCTTTTTTGTTTCT